ATTTTTCCTATGATTGTTAATTATATTAATAAACTTTGTGACAAAATTTTCTATGTAAGTGTTAGCTCTCATTTTCGACGCTAGTAGAATTCCGAATTATCTTAAGTCAGAATGTCATTCTAAAAACATATGAAGGCTTCGACACAACTATGAGGAAATATGAGTCGAAGAAAGGTGGACAAAGTTTCTGGAAAAAATGCTAAGTGTTGGAGAAGCTCTCGACCAGGATCATGTTAAGGAAAACACAAGGTAGTTACCATCAAAGCTGGAGAGAATTCGTAGTGTCTAAGTTCAAATTAATAGTGGGCGAATGTGGGAGCAGTTGAAGTTGTAAAAAAGCGCCAAAAAAACACGTTGTGAAGCCATAACCTTCATCTAGTAGTTACTTGCTAGCATTATAAATAGTCGTCATTTTTAGGTAATAGGGGTGTTCATTCATCTTGTACTAGTCACTCCAAAACACTCAAAGTACCCGCGTGTAGAGAAACGAGTTAGCGAGAATGCACGTGATACAACACCAACTCCTTTTCATTAATGAAATTTACTTGCCTTTACCATTTATGTGTTTTTACTCATTCTGCACTTTAACCTTCAGTTTTTATGTTTAAACTGCCATTTTTTCCAAGTCTTTATGCAAACTTACTTTCATTTACTTTTCACGCAAATTTAAACATTATGCACTTATTTCAAACTTTTTATGTTAAAGTCATTTACCTTACAAGGATTTTATGGTCAAACATGGAGCTTAGATTAGAACCTTTTGCACCTTTATTTTCAAAGTTATTTACAATTACTGCATTTACTTTTGAAGATTTCATAGTCGAACGCGGAGTTTAGATTATAATCTTTTGCATAGTTACATTATTGCCTTTATTTCAAAGTTATTTACTTTTTAAAGCTTTTACGCTATTGCCTTTAATCTTCGACGCATTACTTGCTTTCTTTTAGATATTGCCTTTAATCTTCAAGTTACTTTTACTTTACAAAGATTTCATAGTCGAACGTGGAGTTCAGATTAAGATCTTTTTGCATACTTAGCACATGTCCTAGGATTTAGTATGGTCGATCCTGCAAGTTAATCAATTTTACCCTAAATTGATATACTAGCGGTTGTTTACCAAAATTCATAGTAAACAGTAAGGAAACATGAGTTGTGCAATATATGATGGGAAGTTGTGTTAGTTTGATGATTTAGAAATGTCCTTGAAAGTTATGTGGGCATTGAGGTAGAGAGTAAGTTGAGATGCCATGGTCTTATTCATATGTTGGAATGTTATAAATAGGTAGGTGGAATGACCTGGACAGGTCAATCTGATGAGAAGCAAACGTCTATGCCTTATCAGGCTTGACACTTGGTGGACTGTGGATTGGCATGTGTGACCATGCCACATAGAGAAGGTCTAGCTCAACGCAAGTGCTTTGATATTTTTAACTAAACTTGAACATTCGTTCTATTTTGAGTTTTCACTTCAACAAAATACCAGATATTTCCAAAAATTTTGATAAAAATGCAAGGAAATACCAGAATTTTCAACAAATCCGGTAAAAACTCATACATGTTTTTTAAAAGTCTGGTAAAAATGCATGGATTTTCTCTCTCGCACAAATTTTCGTACCTGTTGTTTCAAAGTAACTACTGAGTTTTTCGTTTTCAACTAATTTTCTAAACTAATTTTTTTAGAGATTGTAACTTTTCGAGACATAAATAATGTGAAGGGTATTTATGTCATTATAAAAATATGGGGGTGCCAGTATAAATGGAGGGAGGGTGGCAGGATAATTTCTCCAAAAACTCTATTGTTTCTTGACTCGAGCCCAAACTTCACAAGCCCATCCCATCTCTCAAAGCAATAAGTCCACGAGAATACCAGACTAGGGATTATGCTCTCTCTACACATGCACCATTTGGAATGAGAAATTAACTTGCCACCCCTAAACTTTCAATATTTCCAAACTACCCTTGCTAATATTTACCTATCAATTTTACTATTCTTCCAAAGAATTTCACTTTTTTCAACTTCTAAAACAAAATTTCCAGTAGTTGTTTTAAAATTTCCGGTACGTCAGTTTTCGTATATTTGAAAATTCACGCGTGTATATCGGAAATTGTCAAAATTTCCGGTAAGTTACAAAAATTTCCGGTATACTGGAAATTTTGCATGTATTTGAAATTTCCAGTAGCAGACCATAAATTAGGAAAATGCTTTATTTGTGCGGTTTGGAGCCGGCATGGTTATCTACGGATTTGTGTAGCGATTGTACGTAGTTCTTCACCACAGACAAAATATGTTTTCTATGTAACAATTTTAAATTTAATATTTTCTCTCCCTTATATGATATTGATAGTATACTATTTATGTGATATAAATGACAAATATTTGAGACTCGGCCTGAAGTATTAGCCTAGGAACAAAATATTGGTAAACAACATGGTATTATAGTTGTGATTGTTAGTTTTTATACTACAAATGGCCAGCAAGGTAGGAAAAATAAATTGATTATTGGTTGTGAGAGAGGAGGAAATTATAAAAGGAAATATACATTTGAAAGCAGTAAATCTTCAAAGGACATTGATAATATGAAAGTGAAATGTCCTTTTAGGCTGAGATCTGTGCCGAGTGGTATCAGTTGGAAGGTAATGGTTAGGTGTGGGTTTCACAATCATAAATTATATGAGGATTATGGTCATGACATATTATGTCATCTAAAGTTCATGAGAGACAGTTTGTGAATGACATGACGAAGTACAACATGGCTCCACAGTACATAGTTTTTGCCTTGAAAGGCAAAGATCCAGAAAACCTCACCGATGTTACCCAAGCGTATAAAGTTAGAACTACATACAATGCGAGCAAGAGAGGTACATTAACGAAAATGAAAATGTTGTTGGCTCTTATCCATAGAGAAAAATATATGTGCTGGACAAGAAATAGGGAAGACTCAAACGTTATTGTTGATATCTTTTGGACACATCCTGATTGAGTGAAGTTGTTGAATATGTTTCACTTGGTGTTGATTTTTGATTGTACATACAAGACAAATAGGTAATGTGCATATTGATCATACCTTGATATCATTTTGACATACTTTGATTTATCATATTGTTGATTATTGTGATTTAGGATGGAGTATGCTCATTGGAGACTAAAAAATATGTTGACTACAGGCTGGGGAGATTTATATCAAAGTTGGATGTTGTGAATACCATGTTGAAGTTGCAGCTAGGTTCAATCAGGGCGTCATTTCAAAAAAGTATTGTCAACATTGAGCATCGATATAACATTCAATTCTATACCAACTTGCACAATTTTGTTTAAGGCAGTGTATGTAGCACATAGGGAACAATCTAGAAAGGGTAAAATTTGTTGGTACAAGTAAAGATGGTTGTTGTTTCTTCATTAGAACTACACATAGATTACTTTGTGCATGTCAACTTGCTGGTTTCCAAATACTAGGCTTGCCTGTTCCTTTAAAACCAATTCGTGTTTTTCTGGAAGAAATTACACATTGAAAAACATGCTAGCGATCATGACGATAGTGACACAAAGTTGGATTTGGAAGCAGAGTGTGAAAAGTTGAAGATATATTTCAATTCTTTGGATATTGTATGCCAGAGGGTGTTGAAGAAAAAGGTTTGGGAACTAACACATCCATCCACATCTTCTACGCGTCCACTGCAAGTAAAGTACAAGCCAAAGAGGGGAGTTAAGAAGAGCAGAAAGGGTGAAGAGAGTGATGTGTATCATGATCCTTCACAGTAGAAATATGGTTAGGGCTCGTAGGAAAGTCATACTACAAAAAGATCATGCATGAAACCAATAGGAAGTCAACCTTCAAGTACGCAGAGTCAAAGTCAACCTTCCAATGCATCCTCGAGACATCTTGTCTTAGTTTCCTAGTTTCTTGCATCCATACATTGATGACACCGTGGATGTGGTGACGATGGAAATTGTAGTTTTCGGGCTATTGCAGCTTTACTTGGATGCAGCGAAGAGTCATGGTCGTTGGCCCGGACGCAGTTAGATACTTAATTTCATCAACACCCTAAATTGTTTTCCAATTTGTTTTATAACATGGTCGAGAAAAATGGACGACGATTCCTGATACGAGTTACCCTATTACATGTAGGCACACTGTCGTATTTGTCTCCCACAGAGACTTAACATTACCCTTTTTCCTCTTTCCATAACTCCATCTATATATATGAGCAAACATAAAATCATTATTGTTGGTTTTGTCAACAACAATCATATGGGTTCAGGTAAAGTTTAAACCTGATAATCCATCGTCTTCCGTCACTGACCGTTGGAGATAGAACCGTACTGAAGATGCAAAAACATGGAAATCAACATATGCAGGACAAATTAATTACTAGGAAGATGAAGTTAGAAAGTCATCCGAATTATGGACAATATATATCTATTATATGTGATGAATTTTTTATGCAACCATTTATGCAGACTACTGCGTAAAAAATATTAAAATTATATTTTTTTTGAAATTTTGAGTGTATATTAAAAATTTTAAATCTATAAAATTTCCGATATATTAAATATTTAAAATTTTCGAAAATTTAAGATATTTTACCTAAAATTTATATTTCCAATATATTCACTTGGGAATTTTGAAAATTTCGATAGTCTATCCGAAATTTTCAATCTATATTTCACACGAACAGTGAAACATTGTAATTTTTTCAATTTTTTTATATAATTCTGTTAATTTCATAATTTTAGAGAAATTTTTTTAAAATAAAAAAATTAATTCGTTAAAAATAGAGGTGCTAGGTCCAATTGTGGGGTTGTCGAGTTAAATCTTACACCATTTGATGTTTGAAAGAAAGTATCGAAAAGAAAGAAAGAGAATAAACGTATTTAGTCAGTGTTCCCGAAGTTGTTCCGATTACAGCATTTTTGCGTAATTTTCACTCACGCTGATCCGCGTCTCACCGCTAGCAACACAGCCCCAATTCCATCTGCACAGTTCTCTCCCTCTCTACGATGGAGGTAACCTCTCCCATTTAACCTAATTCATGTTTCTTTTCGATGAGTTTTCATGGAATCCTTGTTGATTATTGTTCCTATTATCTGATCGTTAAAATGGGTATTAATTTCCCTCAGATTACTTGTAATTTATCTTCAAAATGGATATTAATTTTTGTTTCATGTATAGATAAGCTAGTCGAGTGAATCAAAAATATATAGATAAGTTAGTACTTATTTGTCTGTATTTTTTAGATCACAAATTTGAAATTTCTACTTTGTCTAATGTTTCTTAAATTTTTTTAATAAAATGTAATATTGCGAAAAATTACAGCAATACTGGTCTGGGAGTGCGATCAATAAAAACAAAGGGATGGTAGAGAATTTGCAGCGTTGTGGAATAATCAAATCTAGAAAGGTGGTTGAAGTAATGGAAAACATTGACAGAGGTTTATTTGTACCCAATGGGGTTCAACCTTACATAGACAGCCCTTTTCCTATAGGCTACAATGCCACTATATCTGCGCCGCACATGCACGCAGCCTGCCTTCAGTTGCTGGAGAATCATTTGCAACCTGGAATGCATGCTTTGGATGTTGGCTCTGGTATGCTCTGCGTCGCATTTATCAGAAAATAATGTGTGTGTTTGCTTTGTTGTTAATGAATGATACAGTAAGATTGATTACCAAAATTAAGTGATGTTCTGTTTCACAATAACAATGACAAGAACTTGGTTGAAGTTTTTTATTTTATTTTCTCGGCATGAGCTCTTCAAAATCTTAATACTTTGGACCAATTTATAGGGACTGGGTACCTGACAGCTTGCTTTGCCTTGATGGTTGGGCCGAATGGCCGTGCTGTTGGTGTGGAACATATTCCTGAATTGATTTCCTTTTCAATCAAGAATATTGAAAAAAGTGCTGCAGCTCCACTATTGAAAGATGGTTCCCTTTCCGTGCATGATGGTGGTATGGTTTCTGTTATTTCCATGTATATGAAAGATTGGAATTTTTATACTTCTTGCACAACAATATTAGTGTTTGTTTCCTTTGATCTATTTGACCATGATAAGCAATTAAGCACTTGGGAGGAATCCTCCCTTTAATACTATGGGTCGAGGGAGAAGAACGCACCATTCACCGAGCATCTTATGATACTCGATGTGTGATTTAAGTACTCCATCATACCCAAATACCTATCATAGCTCAACCACTGTGAGCCAATTATGAAGCTCTAAGACGCATCATTTTGTTGTTTTAGTTAGTTCCTGCATTGGTAGTAATAGAAACTGTTAACAATGATAGAAACTGAAAGATGAAAAGAATGAAAGAGAGGGAAAGTAGATTGTATTTTCAGTTTTGGAATATTATCAAATGAAGAAATTAGTAGCAGCACTCAACATAATAGGACTGTGCTGACTTAGCACAGTCAGTTACAAGGTTAAGGCTTTGTTTGGCTAACTTAATTTCTACTAGCATAGTTGGTTAGTTCAGTTTTTCTCTATTAGGTATCCCTTACAGTGACACCATCAACAAAGCTCTGATGCCATGTAATAAGCACCTAACTACTTGCAGAAGCCTACTATAAAAGCTAGCTAGCAAGGGTGAAGATCAAGCCACTTAAGCACTTCATTGAACATCTCGTATTACCTAATACAGGACTTAGTAATGGCAGTTTAATCTTAGTCTATATGTTTGTTATGCGGAATGCAGGATAGTAATGGATTAAAAGTTAAAGTTTTGGAGTCCTTCAGATACACAAAAACCATAACGTAGTGGTTAGATTTTAGATTTTTATGAAATGATCGAGTCAGCTTAAGCTAAAAGTAGAATTGATCCATAAACCTTCTTCATGTTATCGCCATCCAAAATATTTGCGTGTCTCCATTTTCACTATCACAAGGTTCTTCTTCTGGCCTGTGGCAATATTTGCACTGTTATATTATTGGCTAAACAGTCATTACTTAACTAGTAGCTATCTTAAGTCGATGGATATTTAATTTCAAACATTTGTATAATTGTTGTATTGACAGATGGAAGGCAGGGTTGGCCTGAGTTTGCTCCTTATGATGCTATTCATGTTGGAGCAGCGGCACCAGAGATTCCCCAACCACTTATTGACCAATTGAAGCCGGGTGGTCGAATGGTTATTCCTGTTGGAAACACATTTCAAGATTTAAAGGTTGTGGATAAGAACTCTGATGGTTCTATCAGTATCCGGACCGAGACTTCTGTTCGATATGTGCCTCTCACTAGCAAGGAAGCTCAACTTAAAGGATAATAAGGATAGTGAAGGGAAAGAAAAATCTTCTTAGCGTCGCTAATACTTTCTAATATCTGTGGTTATCTGAAAGAATCTGTATAGTTCAAGTTGGTTTTCTCTTCTTTCCCCCAAAACAGAAAAAAAGAAAAGAAAAAGATTCATCTCGATCATGTGGAGTTATTGTATTTGAAGATGGATTCTTAGAAAATCAGTCTTCCCTAATATTCTTCAACATCAAAACAAAATTATATTTATAAAGTCTCCTTAGAAAAATGAAGGTGGAAGCACATATACTTCCTCCAAATAATTTGGATTAGGTAAAAGACTAATTAAACTAGAATAAGCTGTGATGTATTAACTTTGTTATAGTATGCAATAGAATAGTACTCCACTTTTGCTCTTGTGTATATAATGGCAAATGCACTTATTTGCCATGCCTTGCACCCACATGTATGTGAATGTAAGTTCACAGAAAGTTGTAAAACCATCATACACTTTACGAGTTAGATTCACTTTACAAAATCTTGCATCCTCAACTATCTTGTTTCATGCTACCACAACCCTTTGCCCAACATTTTGTGGCCAAGTTTCATTAGAACGAACTTTGCTGAAAAACCTCATACATTTCTCGTCACAAAATAAAAGTCTCTTTTAATGTTATTTCACATGGATTAAGAAAATTAATAAATAGATGAATAAAGGTTACAATTTAACTCTTCTTTATTACTATTGGTCTTTATAAGTTGTCATAAATGGAAAATAAAATATAATTACTTATTAGTGTAGAAAATATTAGTTATGGGTAAAATTAGTATAAATTAATTAACACTGCATTGAAAAAAATTGTAGATAGAAAATAAAATATAATTACATATTAGTGTAAAAAATATTAGTTATGGATAAAATTGATATAAATTAATTAACAGCTCATTATATATATATATATATATATATATATATATATATATATATATATATATATATATATATATATATATATATATATATATATATATATATATATATATATATATATATATATATATATATATATATATATATGTGTGTGTGTGTGTGTGTGTGTCTTTTTAATAGATTTTAGAAGGAATGACGGTAGTTTTCTCTAAAATTTTAATTTTGTGAATATAAACGATGAAATTTGTGACAAAAATATATTACTATTAACAAATTCTGTGAGGAAAATGTTTCATCTCAACCTGAAAAGTTTTAAAACTTAAATTTTTTTACTACATTATAGCTTAATTTTTGTTAAAGATAATAGTAAAATATTTTATTATAAATATAAATATTACTTTATTAATATTGTACTTTTAAATATTAGGTTTTAATAAAAAAAATAGAAATATTACTTTGAATGAATATTTAATATACAAAAATATAAATAGGCTCGATAAAAAAAAAAAAAAACTTTTGAATTAAGAAAACTAAATAATATTTATAAATAAAAAGAAAAAAAACAACTAGACGTTTTTTTCCATTCCCTTTCCAAAATTGAGCTTAAATATTTTTCAGTTTCCTCTCAAGATTTCACTTCCCTCTTGCAACCTTCCTTTTAATCTCAAACTCAATTTAATTTCAAACTAAATTTCCATTTCAACTTCATCTTTCCTTTTAGAAACTTCGCATGCCATTTAAAAGCGTCATACTTCCTTATCCTCTTATGTTCTCAAATTATGCATGACAACGAGGTGGGAGTGAAGCAGGTTTAAGTATTATTAGTCATGTCTCTATTGAGATATAATATAATCTAAGTTGTGTGACTCAAACCAAAATTTAATTATGATTTAGAGTTTGTTATTTAGTAGTCAAGTCACTTAAACGTATATAAATAGATATTTTATAATTCAGTTTAATAACACAATCATTCAATAATATCAATCCTTATTTTTATATTCTTTCTCTTTTTCTCCTCACTAAAAGTCCCTCACACATTAACAAATTGGTATCTAGAGCTCTGATTAGGTTCTTGATCGTATTTTCAATAATCACACGCCGATGATCGTGAGTTGTTAATCAATCGCTGCAAAGATGAATGGTACTAATGACATTTCAAATTCTCTTCCAATTCTTGATGGAAAAAATTGGATCCGATGGAGAAAACAGATGCAATATCAGTTTGGCTTTCATGAAACCCTAGAAGTGGTTACTAATGGCGTCCCTGAGCTTGTTGCGAATGCAACTGATGCTTAGAGAGTCGCGAACAAGGAGGCGAAGAAGAAAGATTGCAAGGCTGCATATTGCATTCAATTAGCGCTACATTCGAAAAATTTCGACAAGATTTCTCATGCTGAATCGACGAAGGAGGCATAAGATAATCTTGTTAAGTACTATGAAGGAGGTGAAAAAGTCAAAGTCGTCAAATTGCATACTTTGCGACGACAGTAAGAATTGCTGCATATGGGAGAAGATGAAAATATTGCAGGCTATGTGTTGAAGGTGCACAATCGCATCCATCTCATGAAGGGTTGTGGTGAACCCCTAATGATAAGATGATAGTTGAGAAGGTAATGCGTATGTTGACCTCTCACTTTGATCACATTATCGTATCTATTCAAGAATCCAACAATCTTGAAATCCTGAAACTAGAAGACTTGGTTGGTTCGTTGGAGGTGCATGAGATTAGGATTTTTGAAAGAAAAAGGGTCCAAGATTCAATACAAGCACTACAGGCTTAGGCTTGGAAGAAGCATGTCGGTTCCAACAAATTCAAAGGAAAATGAGACAAGTCTCAGAGCAAGAAGTCTTGGTCAAACCCTCAAAAGTATAAGGTCGATGATAGGGCTTTTGAATCCTTGAAAAGAGGATAAGGAAACTCATATCAGAAAGACAAAAAGAAAAAAAGCGTGTAATACTATAACTATGAAAAATGGGGTCATGCGGCCAAGAATTGTGGTACAAAAAAGATAAGGGACCGACAAAAGGAAAGGAGAAAGGAGCAAACCTTGCACGCCAAGGTCCAGATGATTATAAAGATATGATGGTTATGACTGCAATTATAGATGGCCATGTCAACTCCAAAATATGGTTCCTTAACTCGAGCTACTCGAATCACATGGCTGGTCGAAAAATGTGGTTAGCAGATTTCGACTCATTGAAGAAGAGCAAGGTAAAACTTACTGATAGTAGCTCGTTGCAAGCAGAAGGTACTGGCGACATAGTTATTCAAAGGAGAAATAGAGAAAAAGCTATGATCAAAGATGCACTCTATGTACCTGGAAAAAAGTGCAATATGATAAGTGTTGGACAACTAGTCGAGAGAGGTTTCTCAGTAATTATGAAACATGGAGCCTTGGAATTGTTCGACACTCAAAATAACTTAGTCTTGAAATCTCCTTTGTCGAAGAATAAGAAATTCAAGATCATGATCAATTCAACTGAAGTACAATGTCTAAAAACTATTGTCGACCACAAGAATAGTTAGCTGTGGCATTTGAGGTTTGAACATTTTAACTTTCGATCATTCAATCAACTGGTTACTTAAGACATGGTAATTGGTATACCAAGGCTAGAAATTCTTGACAAACTCCATGAAGGTTCTCTAGTCGAAGAGCAATCCAGAAAGTCTTTCATTTCGATTATGCCAACGAGATCCTCCTAGATGTATGTGGCCCTTTTGAGGAGCATACCATTGGTGGAAACAAGTATTTTGTTTCGTTTACCGATGAGTTTAGTTGAAAGCTGTGGATCTATGTGATCAAGAGAAAGGATGAAGTATTCTTAATCTTTAAGAGATTCAAGATGCTTGTTGAAGACCAGGGTGAGAAGAAAATCAAAGTTCAGTGAACAGATGGAGCTGGCGAATACACTTCCAAGATGTTTGAAGAGTTTTATGCAGAATATGGTGTTGATCTTGGGGTAACTGCTCCTTACACACCTCAACATAATGGAATACCAGAAAGAAGAAACATGAACATATTGGACATGTCGAGATGCATGCTGAAGTAGAAGAATTTTCCAAAATCCTTATGGGGTGAAGCTGTTCCCACTACTATTTCTATTCTGAACGGTGCCCTACAAAGAAGCTGAAGAACAAGGTTCCCAAAGAAGTGTGGAGTGGAAAATGACCATCAATGAGTCATCTGAAGATGTTTGGCTCTATTTGCTACAAGCATATTCCTGATGCTAGGAGAAGGACGCTTGATGATAAGAGTGAACCTATGATTCTGGTAGGATATCATAAGATTGAAGTATACTAGCTATTCAATCCAATAAACAATAAGATCATAATGAGTCGAGACATTGTGATTGATGAGAACTCAGCTTGAGATTGGAATTATGGTGATCCACTTAACAAGCCATTTATGAGCTATTATTTTGACGAAACAAGTAATAATGTCAAAGTAGAAGATATTGTCGATATTCCCGTCAAAGTCGAAGCATTAGCTGACATTCCCGACACACTCGAAGTCAGAGAGGATATGGCTAGAACATGCCAGAGACCTCAAAGAACTAGAGCTCGTCCAACAAGACTTCAAGACTACGAAGTGACTGGTGATGATGAAGTCACACCAGATGGAGAATTAGTTCATTTTTCTTTACTTGCAGATGCTAAACCAATAACCTATAAAAAAGCTTTAGAAAATATAAAGTGGAAGTATGCTATGGTCGAAGAGTCACGAGCAATCGAAAGAAATAACACATGGGAGTTAGTCGAATTGCCGGCACATACAAAAGCTATCAAAGTGAAGTGGGTGTTCAAGTTGAAGCACAATACTAATGGGTCGATAGCAAGACATAAGGCGAGATTGGTAGCTCGAGGGTTTATTCAGAGAGCATGAGTCGACTACTCTACAGTATACCTACCTGTAGCAAGATTGGAGACTGTTCGACTAGTAGTCGCATTGGCATGTAAACAAGGCTGATTGACATTTCACTTAGATGTGAAATCAAAATTCTTTAATGGTCCTCTAGATGAAGAGGTATATGTCATACAACCTCATGGGTTTAGGATTCAAGATGAAGCAAGGAAAGCATACAAGTTGCACAAAGTGCTCCAT